AACAATAAATGGCTAGGTGGAGGTAAATTCAACTAGTGATATCATGCATGCTTGATCAATCAACATAATCAAGGAGTAAAACAGTCAGTTACTGTGCTGTTCATAACAGAAGGTGTGGAAGGGGAGACGAGACATTTCTGAAAAACAAATAAGCTGGAACTATTTCAAGACATGATAAGAGGTGTTGGAGAGAAGAGCAGGCAAGCGGCTGACAGAGAGTGGAACTGAACAGACTGATGTTGTTAGCTATTTGGGTCAAAATACACATTTACTGACCAAGTCTTTCACAAATTGCTGTTACCAAATGCATCACCTGTTCAAGATAATGTCATACAGTATAGGCAGAAGCAGTCTATGAGTTAGTAAGAGCATAATTACTGTACCATGCATATGCACAAATCACTAATGTTGCTTTTGTCAACGAAAATTATGACTAAATATCGTCGTCAACGAACCTTTATCACGTGATGAAAATGAGACGAGACGCAACGTAAATGCTGGTCATGTGACGATGACTATAATTAAATGTATAATGTAATATCGTTGACGAAAAAAACGAGACTAAATGTGGTTTACAAAATAAAAACTATGCTAAAATGTCTCTTCATTTTTGTTGACCAAAATGAGACGAAACAAAATGTTATAATGTTATTTCTTCTCGTTTAGTCGCGTTATTATTATTAATTTGCAGTATTTCTGTTTCCTGCGTCTCGCTTTAGGGGTCGCATCAGGTCGCACTGCGCAGAAGCAGGCGTCGTCACTTCCTTAAGCCCCACTCGCGGCATTATTTAGAAGATAACAACGAACAAAGTTAAGTCTGACACAGAGAAAGGGACCGATGGCTGGTTAGCCAGGGTTCATCTTTGGGGGGAAAAGAAGAAACGACATTTGGAAAAAACTTTCATTACAAAGAATTGGAAAAGAAAACGGAATGTGCTGTGGAAAAAGATGGGGAGAAATGTGGCCACAAAATCACACAAAATGCGTATTGGATGTATTCTTGAGCCTCTAAGGTAACAATAACATAATAAAATAACCTTGTTTGAAATGGGTTTGGCTAAAAGAAACTTTTGGTTTCGTCTATACTACTAGGTACTTATACTATATTGACTGGGTTAAATAGAATTGCATTACTAAAAAGAGACTAAAATACAATTTTCATTGACTAAAACAAGACTAAATGTCATCAGTTTTCATCGACTAAAACTAGATGAAAATAGTTATGGATAATTCTGACTAAAATAAGACTAAAATACTCAGACTTTTAGTTAAATGAAACTTGACTAGACTAAAAACAGTATGAACATGACTACAAGTAATAAAAACTAAAATGACAGCTTCACACAAAGACTAGGCTAAAACTAAAATTAAAACAGGCCGCCAAAAGCCACCAATGTACAAATCACCAATGTAACACATACTCGGCTCAGTGTTAAATCCACAATGTAAAACAATTCACTTCTAGACAAAACACACATTTTATAGGGATGTGATTAATATTTAGCACAACAATAGAAAAGTTGGGGATTTAGGAAAACTGGGAAATTATCACATTCCTATCATCACAAAAAACAAACAAAAAAACCCCACATTCAACACAGCCACATACCATGTGACAACAGCTTATACTAAAAACCAAAAAGAAATTGTCCCACGATTCCAAGAGAGAGGTGACAGTTTCAAAAGGTAAAGGTTAGTAGGTGGATCAGACTCACCGGGAGGTGTGTGAAGACCTGAAAAGTAGAACGCAGAAAGTTGATCAGGTCCATGAGGTATCCAGAGGCACGGCCGTCAGACTCTGCCATGCCCCATTCATAATCTGCGAGCTGGATGAACTCATCGATCTTCTGGTTGAGTTTAGTATAAATCTCTCCCTCTGCAGCATGACGAGCATCCTGGAAAACATTTTATTAGACATAACAGAACTAAATACAGAAACAGAGTCATGTACTATTAGACTATTAAATGTACTAATAGCAAATTTGATAACAGTTTTATCAGCTATTAACAGTTTGCATACAAATGATTTGACTTAGTGATGTGATACAAGCCTGGATCTTTCATACACTCTTCTTCAAAGTTGAATTTGAACTACTGTTAGCGGAACAAGGTCTAAAAGTACACTATTGAGTATCATTACACTCCTGTAATGCTGCCACACTGATGATGGCAAGATGGAGAAAAAAAAACATACTGATACAGCAGAACCAGATATCTTTTTTATCCGATATACATTTCTTCCTTTTAAAAATCAAGTCTATTTTATCATTTATTATCCATCCATCCATCCATTTTCCTCTGCTTATCC